TTGCTATGTTAGCTCTATAATGTACTAGACTGTAGAGCAAAGGATGACCATGACCCCTGCCCTTAAAGCTCCATACCCAGAAAAGTATACAATTACAATAAAACATAAGAGCACCATTAAAGCATAATGTGAAAACCACTTCAGAGGTATAAAGTAAAAAAGGAAAAATTACCTTGACAGTGAACAAAACCAGAGATTGAAAGCAAGGTTTGAACTAGAATATTAACTAGCATAGACTTTTGTATTCCTCCCTGTGACTGAAAATTGCATGTTCTCACTTTAAAAATAAATAAATAAAAATTAAGATGAGAAGATTGGTTTATTTTAGAGGTGTAAAGAAAGTAGCAACAGCATTTTAAGTTGTGTCGTGTCCATGAATAAGGAAATATCTGACATTCAAGAATTGTAAGCATCCCTAAACAAAATTCCATTCAAATAACCAAATATATATAGAAAAACAGAAGTCAGTGAAAAGGAATAACAAGGACCCACCCAGGTTTGACAAGCATCTGAAATGCTGTTGTTGAAATAGGGTCTTATACACAATTTCATCTGTATCATTCAACAAGTTCTCCTGCAATTATCTAGACAGAAAAGCTGCTGGGGAGGGAAGTAGGGAGATATTTCAGTGCTCTATTTTGTTCCTGCAATTACTTTGCAATAGACAGGGCCCTGGTTTCAAGTGGGGGTGGTGGAAGGAGAGATAAGGGTTAGCATTAAAGGTATAAGTGAAGGATAACTTTTAACAACAAAGAAAACTTTCAAGCTACAGGTGATCTATTTATGTATATTTTTAAACCAAATGTCCTTTGCAAGCTTAGAGAATTTGAGCTCCATCTTGGTGAGGAGAGTCACCCACAAGTTCTATTGGAGGGCGAGGCCCAGCAGCAAGGTGGGCAGAAAGGGAGTGGTGAGAGGGGAGCTGATCTCTGGGGTAAAGCAGGACTTCAGATGGTAGCTACCGTGAAAGCAACTAATTGGGTACTGGCTGTGGGTACAAAAATGGAACTCAGCCCATGGAGAGAAACAGTTGGTCAGGACTGGCAAATTTCTCAGACTCAAACATGAGGGATGTTATGTAGAATAAGGAATGTTAGGCCAAGTTCACTACGGGAAGTTGCTTATTTAACTCACAACATTATGTGATGAGGGTACTTGCTGACCACTCTTCCAGTTCAGGGTCCACCTATGGAGCTTCTCTGCTCCAAGCTCATGAGTTTTCTACCCTTCTCTGTGTTTATGGGTACCCTTCCATCCTAAAGGAGGTCAGTCCTGTGTGTTCATTGGACAGACTGATGCTGAAGCTGAAACTCCAATACTTTGGCCACCTCATGCGAAGAGTTGACTCACTGGAAAAGACCCTGATACTGGGAGGGACTGGGGGCAGGAGGAGAAGGGGACGACAGAGGATGAGATGGCTGGATGGCATCACCGACTCGATGGGCATGAGTTTGAGTAAACTCCGGGAGTTGGTGATGGACAGGGACCCTGGCGAGCTGCAATTCATGGGGTCACAAAGAGTCAGACATGACTGAGTGACTGAACGGAACTGAACTGGGGCACTATAGGGGGCTAGGTGATGAATGGGGCATGGAAGAGATAAATGTGCTGGTGCTCCTTGGGACTGAAGAAAATGTAGATGTGGGTCACAGCATGTGGTGTATGAGAGGCAAAAAGGAAGCTGAAGCTGGGAAAGCAGATGGGGGCATGGTTAAAAGGCCTGGTGAGTCACCTCCAAGTACAGACTTTAATTGTTCTATAGGCAATGGTAAGCTACTCCAAGTATTTCAAGGAAGTAATATGTTTCATCTGTACATGTATGCATGCATGTTCAGTTGTTCTGTCATGTATGTTTCATCCAGGAATTTTTAAAAGCATAATTATGGAGGATCATTTGAGACAGGGAGGCCAGTTAGGAGATTATGCTCTGTACAAAATGGTTCCACTAGATTCTTTCACATCCTGACTTTGCCCAGTGCATCTTGGCTAAAGAAAAAAATTAAAATGTTGAACCAAGATAGGATAGCAGTAATGAGAGGGAGAAAGGAAAGGAGAGAAAAGTTTGGGAAAGAGAGCCTTAAATATGAGCAAGAGGACTGAGAAAGTGACAATGACTGATGCTTTTAATCCAGGCAAGTGTGAAGCTAGTTGTGCCATCCACACAGGATGAGGGAAGGATGCTGGAAAAACAATGGCAGTGAATTTGGTTTGAGGCATGCCAAGTGAAGAGTAACAAATAACCATTTATGCAAAAAAAACAAACAAAGCTTACATTTAAGGACATTTTTAATTCCCATCAAGTAGATGACTAAAGGAAATCTCTAGTTTTGAGATCCAAAAACTAGATGGTGATTTCTCACAATACAAAAGGATTCTTTACTCTGTAATAAATTCTTTATTCTGTTAATAAAATGGTTCCACTAGATTCTTTCACATCATGACTTTGCTCAATGCATCAAAACCATGATTAATTTTTAAATCTTAAGGTCTAGAGATAAACAAAAAGGAATTACTTTGTAACAAGATCATGTGAATACAAACTAAAATTCTGTAAAGTAAGGATATCAAGAGAGGAACAGAAGGGAAGGAGAAAGCAAAAGTGAGCAGAAAGGCAGAGAAAGCCATGAAAAGAACATGAATCTAAGGACAAAACCAGCCAGCACAGGATGAGCAAGAGGATGAAGCCTCTACACTTTGTCGAAGTACAAAGAATCCGACATAAGAATAAAAGAAACACCCTGATGTGAAAGACCAAGATCATCTCTTTCTCAAAGTCCAGTACTTAAGTTTGCCTACTGTGCAATAATGTAGTATATACTGTGAAAGTGAAAGTGAAGTGAAAAGCATTAGTCGCTCGGTCATGTCTGATTCTTTACGACCCATGGACTATAGCCCACCAGGTTCCTATGTCCATGGAATTCTCCAGGCAAGAATACTGGCATGGGTAGTCATTCCCTTCTCCAGGGGATCTTCCTGACCCAGTGAGCAAACCCAGGCCTCCTGCATTGAAGGCAGGTGCTTAACCCATCTGAATCACCAGGGAAGACCAAGGAGAGCATCTCTTTCTCAAAGTCCAATAGTTACTTTGCCTAGTGTGCAATAATGTAGTATGGTATGTGCTGTGCTGTGCTAAGTCACTTCAGTCCTGTCCGACTCTTTGTGACCCCACCAGGCTCCTCCATCCATGGGATTCTCCAGGCAAGAATACTGGAGTGAGTTGCCATGCCCTCCTCCAGGGGAACAGAAAGTATTAAATAAGTGTCAGTTTTATTATGAACAAAATGAGAATTCATAATGGGTTCCAAATAGTTTAATATTTCTCCATTAAGTATAAAATCATCACCCTTTCCATTTATCTTTTATTAAATGAAAGTTCAGCCTGGGAAGGGTAAACTATTCCAGTCACTAACACTAAAGTGTGGGGTCCTTAAACCAATCCCCTCTTCCAAGCAGCAGGAGGAATTCAGGGTAGCATGGTTTGAAAATAGTATATGGAATACTAAAGAAAGACTATGAGAGAAATGAAGAAAAATGCCATTTTAGAATTTGGCAGGGTATCCCCCAACATCAAATGTCAGAAAAAAGAAATCTTAATAAAATCACTGTGTGTAAGAGACATGATTTTTCAAAGATGATGTTAAAATTAGGAGGAACAAAGTGAAAGGATTATAAATTTAGCAAGAAGCAACAATGACACAGAGGATGTGAGTTTGAAATGAAAATCTGATGTGGCCCTAAGGGTTCTCACTGGTGAGCAAAAATATTGAAGATGAGTTCAGGTGAAAGTTCCTTGATAAAGCCTAGGTCTAGACACCATGGGGCAAAGAAGAAAAGGACTCGAGACTAGAAAGAGGGTAGAGTTTAATGAAGAGGCCAACCTTCAGTAAAACAGGGATTCCTGTTGGATTTCCCATCTAGTACTTGTTTATACCTCTTATACAGCAAACTTGTTGCAATATTGTCATGAGATTCTGTAAATTATCTTTGATAATGCTACCACATTAATAATTCTTCTTCAAATCCCACCCACAGTGAAAATGGGTATTACAATTCCTTTTTAAAAAAAATAAACCTTTTTAAAGAGAAGGTAATTTTAAACATGAAGAAAATAAAAGTTAAATAAATAAAATGTTATCATAAATTTCTTACACAAGACATGCCCATTTCTCATCTCAGAGCTGACTGATTTGTGAATTTGTGGAACAAAGAAATCAAGAAAATGACGTCAAGTACTATGTCTTTTTCTATTTGTCACAGTGTCACATTTTTCTTTATAGATAAATACATCTCAAATGTAATTTTAAATTCTATTTTCTCATATATACACTCTGTGGTACACTGATTGCACTGCCTGCTGGCCCGGTTTTTTCTCTCTCATGGTGGGTGAAGTGTCAACTATAAGCATGGTCATGTGACTTGCTTTGGTCAGTGGACTATGAGCAGACATAATACCAGTCACAGGCCTGGAAAACCCTTGAGCATTTCCCCTCCCTTGCCCTAGCAAGCATCTCCTTTCTTGCACCTGTGTTCTCACAGCTATCAGAACATATTCGGTCTATCCTTTTAGAGAATGAGACATGGGAGGAAGAACTGCATCTTCCTGCATCCTATCTGAAGCATTCTCAATACTAGCCCCCAGTCAATCCATGGCTTCCTGCAGATACATGAGTGAGTCCAGCCAAGATCAGCCCAACCTGCCAGTCAGTCTACAGATCTGTGTGTAATAAGCAGTGCTTGTTGCTTCACACAGCTAGCTTTGGTATGGTTTGTTACTTAGGATCAACATTCCAGTAGCTCACTGATTCACACACACACATTTATTTGGCTACCTCAATAGAACTATAACTTCACACTTCTTAGTTTCCACCATGGCAATCTATACTCTGAATATAGTTACCAGGTTTTATAAATGTTGATTAATAGATGAATTCTAAAGAACTTTGTTAATCAAATGTTTAATCTATTCAAATGTTTTAGCAGTGATTTTTTGTTTGTTTCAGGAATCTTTTTCACAGTTGAATATTATTGAGGACCCTAAAAAGCTACTGCTTATGTGTATTATATCTACAGATATCTATTGTTAGAAGAAATTAAAACTGAGAAATGCTTCAAGTGCAAACATCACAAGCACACATTGCGTTAGTCGTTGGAGAGCTGATGTCATCACAAGTCATATGTGGCCTCTGGGAAGCTCTACTATCTGTTCTTGAGAGAATGAAAGTGAAAAAGGTAGATGAACTAATATTTACAAAGGACTTAAAATAAGCACCTGACAAATAGTGACATTTGATGTCAAATAAATAAGACTATTTCATAGCAATCCTGTTTGTTTTCTGAATATCACTACTGTATAGTCTTTAAAATTATCACATATGAGATGATCTACAATAATATGTCTGCCAAGGAAGATATTTACTTAAGTAGGAAGTACCACAATATTCACATTTCTGTATAATGAAATATTCTTTCCAACATCAATTTAATTAGGATGTTACTTTTCCACTGAAAAGCAAATCAGTTAAAAATCCCTATGTGTCAGAGGCAAAACACAAAGGCAGCTAACTGAAACACACAAACACTGCTCAAAGCCACAGCCTGACACAAATAAAGAAATAAGCTTTCAGTTATAAGAAGTGATTAGCAGCCTGCATTTTGCAGATTACGTGGAGGGATACAGAGTTCCCATTCAATATCCATCATTCCAGTCCCCCTTAATTATAAAACCCTGGTTTAACTCAAAGGCAATGTTCTCTTTTTTAATTGCCTGCTGCTTGAGAAGCAGATGTGAGGGTCCTAGCCCCCAAAGCCATCTCAGACCACGCAGTAACCTGAAGCATGAAAGCCAGAAGCTGAGGATGAAAAGCACTGACAAGGAGCTTGTATTTCTGATGAAAATGAGGATGCATCAGACAATGGTGAACTGCCTGCCTCCAGACTTCTTTTTACATGAGGACTCTTCTATCTTGTTTAAGCTATTATTTGGGGGTATTCTCTTAGTCACTGAGGTGCAGCCAACTTAAACTATATAATATATGTGATAATTGTATGTGTGCTCAGTCACATCCAACTCTTTGTGACTCCTGGGACTGTAGCCCACCAGGCTCCTCTGTCCATGGGATTTCCTAGGAAAGAATATAGGAACGAGTTGCCATTTCCTCCTTTAGGGGATCTTCCCCACAGGGGTCAAACTCGTGTCTCCTGCATTGGCAGCAGGATTCTTTACCACTGAGCCACCAAGGAAGCCTCATAATTGATAATAAATGTTTTTAAATTGAACTCTAAAAAATCATGGGGGTAAAGACATAATTCTAAAAGAAAAAGAAAACCAAAACATCTGACTAAAAGTCTTCAATAATTTCAATTTAAGTGAACTGGAAATTAATAGCAAAACTTAACCATATGTCATTTGGAGTGAAGTGTTTATAACTATGTTTTATTGTACCATAGATTATATATATGTTTGTTCATAGCTTGTTTTCAATTAGCCTAAAGTAATAGTTTACCATCTCCACAAAGGTTGAGTGTTTATGGAGAAAACTTTTTGCAATGTTTACAGTAAGATTTGAGTCAAATAAAATAACCTGTTAAGTTACTCTCAATACTGAGTATTGCTAGGTGTGTGCATATGTGTGTGTGTGTGTGTGTGTGTGAATGCGTGTACCCCTCTATGTGTACGTATGTATGTTTGTTATATTTAACAGGTTTTATTCAAAGTTTTAAAACTTTCAAAAGCATAGACACATTGAACGAATACTTGGAGCAAAGTAATACTCAATAATAATGAAACTAAACATCCATCAACAGAGAGATAGACAAAGAAGATGTGGTACATATATGCAATGGAATATTACTCAGACATAAAAAAGGAACAAAATTGAGTCATTTGTAGTGATTTGGATGGACCTAGTCTGTAATACATAGTGAAGTTAAGTCTTAAAGAGAAAAACAAATATTGTATATTAACACATATATGTGAAATCTAGAAAATGGTACAGATAATCTTATTTGCAAAACAGAAATAGAAACACAGATGTAAAGAACAAAAGTATGGCTACCAAGGGGATAAGGGGAGGTTGGGATGAATTAGGAGATTGGATTGACATAAATACACTATTGGTATTATGTATAAAATAGATAGGGCTTCCCAGGTAGTGCTAGTGGTAAAGAACTCACCTGCCAATGCAGGAGACATAAGAGATGTGGATTGATCCCTGGGTCAGGAAGATCCCTTGGAGGAGGGCACGAAAACCCACTCCAGTATTCCTGCTGGAGAATTCCATATACAGAGGAGCCTGGCGGGCTATGGTCCATAGGGTTGCAAAGAGTCAGACACAACTGAAGTGACTTAGCACAGATGGATAAAATAGACAACTAATGAGAATATACTGCATAACTCAGTGAACTCTACTCAGTACTCTGTGGTGACCTAAATGAGAAGAAAATGCAAAAAAAAAGAGGTGATGTATGTATACACACAGCTGATTCACTTTTCCATACAGCAGAAACCAACACAACACTGTAAAGCAACTAGACTCCAATAAAATTTAAATCAAGAAAAGTCAAAGCACTAGACTCAACTCTGAGAATGTTACTTTAGCAAGGATGTTTTCTGTCGTGGTATGTTAGATCTTCAGTAACTCTAAATTATATATTGATAAAAATGGCTCAAACACCCTTCCTACCATTAATCATAAATTCTCTCTCTGATCAATGCCTCAAAATTATAAAATTATACAACAGGGATGTAGGGGAACTAGACACTACTAGGATTGTGTGACTTTAAAAAAGTATCATTGTATTAAGCATTTCCCCAATCCTAAACATTCATGCAGGTTTCAGTTTTGTTCACCAATTTTATCCTAGATAACACAGCTATGATACTTAATTTTATGTCAATTGAACTGGACTGAGGGATGCCCAGATAGCTGGCAAAACATTATTTCTGGATGTGTCTGTGAGGGTGTTTCCATAAGAGATTAGTGTTTGTAAAGAAGATTCTCTACCAATGTGGCATGCATCCATCCAGTCTGTTGAGGGCCTGGATAGACCAAAAAGGCAAAAAAAAGGATGAAAGGATGAATTTGCTCTTTCCTTTGGCTGGGGCATCCATCTTCGCCTGCCCCTAGACATTAACTCCCCTGGTTCTTAGGCCTTTGGATTCAGATCAAATTATTTCACCAGCTTTCTTAGCTCTTCAGCTTGCAGATGGCAGACTATGAGACTTCTTGGCCTCCATGATCATGTGAGCCAATTTCTATGATAAAGCTCCCCATATATATTGGACATAGATATAGACCTCCAATTGCTTCTATTTCTCTGAAGAACCTTGACTGATAAAACAGTGATAAACATATGTTTATTTATGCTACTGTTTCAGTTTGTTATTTCTAAAGTCATGTCATCAAAGCTTTCAAAAGTTTTTCATAGTGGAAAAAATGGCTGAAATAAAAAATATACATCCTAAATATTTTTATTTGTATTTTCCCAATGAATTATCTGCAAAATACATGGAGGTAGAGAAGAGTATCTGAGGAAAAAAATACATACTGAGAGAAAAAAAACCTTGAACCTAATGGTTATAGAGACATGAAGTTATTATATATTTCTTTCTTCAATCTAATCTTAAATTTCCTCATCCTTAATTTATTATCCAAAAGATGCAAGCAATAACACAGGCCACTCTGTCCTGTCCTAGATGAATGATACTAGATGAAAGTACACAGAGAACATTTGAGCTCTGTTTGTAGATATTTGAGTTGAACAAAAATCTTAACTGACTTTCTGAAAACAGCCTGTACAGAAAGTGGCATAAAGAGAAACATTATATTGAGTATTACTTTAAGTAAATTAACTCCAGAAAGAAGTACTCAAAAATTGTTAAACCATAGAACTTCAAAACTTCTAGGATTTAACATAATCCATGATTGTTCATCTGAAATGTTGGTTCATGAAGAGCTGTGCTTTAAGAGGACATGTGCAGAAAAAGATGCTCATATTATAATTTATGTTGTTACATCTAGTCAATGCTATGGTTTTTCCAGTAGTCATGTATGGATGGGAGAGTTAGACTATAAAGAAAGCTGAGCACCAAAGAATTGATGCTTTTGAACTGTGCTGTTGGAGAAGACTCTTGAGAGACCCTTGAACTGCAAGGAGATCCAACCAGTCCATCCTAAGGGAGATTAGTCCTGAGTGTTCTTTGGAAGGACTGATGTTGAAGCTGAAACTCCAATACTTTGGCCACCTCATGTGAAGAGCTGACTCATTTGAAAAGACCCTGATGCTGGGAGGGACTGAGGGCAGGAGGAGAAGGAGACAACAGAGGATGAGATGGTTGGATGGCATCACCGACTCAATGTTTGGGTAAACTCTGGGAGTGGGTGATGAACAGGGAGGCCTGGTGTGCTGCAGTTCATGGGGTTGCAAAGAATCAGATACAACCGAGCAACTGAACTGATCTGAGAAAACAGCAAGGCCATGTATACAAAGAAAGGCATAAAATGTTCTCCAGAAAATTGTATGATTTCAAGAGTTTGGAGGTCAGAGGATAGGGGTTGGCTCTAAATCAGGATGTTAATATTTCTAGTTATTGATGAAATCCTTGCCATTTTTTATACAATCTCCCTAAACATCCATGCTTACCTACATATTAACATATAAAAAGGACAGTGAAAAAATTGTTGTAAAATTTGTCAAAATAACAAGGGGCTAGAGCTAATATCACAGTGATGATTAATAATGACATAAACATATGAAGTTACTATTATTTACCCACTTTAAAAGTGAGTAAACTAAGGCTTACAGGCATTAGGTAACAGGGCCTTCAACATGCTTCAATTAATTTGAACGTAGGTTTCTGGGAATCTAAATATTTTTCTGTCTATTATGCCGCATACTATCTTTGCCCTCAAGGAGCAAGAGTAAACCCTAGGGAAAGGAAATACCATGTACAAAAACAATGTGACAGGTGGTATGAGTGCAAATCTAATAGATATAGGCATAGATGGGGAGGGGTCGAATAACACACTCCTGAGGTGGAGGAGGTAACTCTAGAAAGACACAGTGAAAAGAGCATTTGAATAGACTCTTAAAGGACAAATTGTGAGAGACAGAAATGAAAGATATTCCAGGTGGGACAGTATGAATGAACAGAGGTAAAAAATTATAAGTGACTTGTACATAGCACTCTCCTTATGCCAATCACTCTCCTAAGTGCTTTACATCTACCAGCTCATCCATTTTGTTTTCAGCATAAACCTAGGAGATACCTACTATAGTTATCCTCACTATAAACAAGAGAGGCACAGAGGCACAGAGAGGTTAAGTAACTTGCCTAAAGTCACATAACTAGCAATAAGTAGAAGCAAGATACGAATCTTGGTTATCTGGCTTAAAAGCCTACTCTCTTTACCCCTCTCGGTAATGAAGATATTTCCTAAGAATTGAAAGATAGGATCGGGATGGGGAATACATGTAAATCCATGGCTAATTCATGTCAATGTATGACAAAAACCACTACAATATTGTAAAGTAATTAGCCTCCAACTAATAAAAATAAATGAAAAAAAAAAAAGAAAGATAGCCAGGGATTGGTAAAGCGCCGAAGAAAATAAAGGGTGAAAACACTAAATAGGTAGATGAAGGCCTTGAATGTCATTCTAAGGCTCTTCATTCTCACCCCGTAAGCAGTGCACCTCTGAAAGAGCAGGATCACATTCAGGATAGGGTTTGGAAAAATTTCTCAGTTGGTTCTGTGAATAAAAATAGGCTGAAAACAAAGTAACAGAGGCAGAAGTCTCAGAAAAATTACTGGAAAGGTTCTTTGACAGTTCAGTGAAAAATGGAGGGCTTAAGCCAATCTCAGTTGGAAGAAAGTTTTATAAAACAAGAAGCAGCATCATCAAGACTTTTCATTGAAGTTGCACCTCCGTTTGGGATCTGGAAAAGCACTCTATAGAAGTGCTTTATGTAATTTTGTCAGTATTTTGTATAGGATCTTACTTTCATAGCTATAGATTCAGCTCTGGATCTATGGTCATTTCTGAAATCCTTCAATGGCTTTCCAAAATGCTCTTGTATGGGTGCTTTTTTACCACCACTAAAATCAGAAAAGGACCTAACTCTAATAACAGAGGAAGCGCATGGATATAATAAGATGACTTAACAACTGATTGTTCAAAAGCCTGAATGAAATAATATGCGGAAAGTGCTCAGGATGGGGTCTGGCACCTAATGGGCTTTGCAGACGGCTCAATGCTAAAGAATCCACCTGCCTGCCAACGCAGGAGATGCAGGTTCAATCTTTGGGTTGGGAAGATCTCCTGGAGGAGGGAATGGCAACCCACTCCAGTTTTCTTATCTGGAGAATCCCATGGACAGAGGAGCCTGGAAAGCTACAATCCATAGGGTCACAAAGAGCTGGACATGACTGAAGGACTGAGCATGCAGGTGCGCTGGCAAGTAATAGGCACTTAAAATTTCCTACCTGTGATATTATCACTATTATTATTAGAGCTTCACTGGGTCCCATTTCTTCAGCCCTAACTCTTCAATAAGGAGAGTGACACTTCACAGGAGAGTGTCACTCAAGGGACTTAAAGTCACGGAGGCGCACTGCAGTTCTTCCTCCTCTTGAAGTGCTTCCGGGGTTGGTCTTGCTGTTTCTCCCAGAAAGTCACTCACCTATGTGATCAGAATATGTGAGGTGCTCAGTATGTGCAAGCCCTCTCCCAAATGACAGAGCAAGGGTGTGTCCCTTCCACTCATATACCAGGTAAACCGATAGAAGAAACGGGGAAAGAAACAAAAGCAGAATCTGAAAAAAAAATATTTTAAAAAGAGACTAATGATTATAACCTATATACTGCATGTGTATATATATATATTTACATATATATATATAAGTAGCTGTACTAATCTACATAAGAAAATAATGCAAACTGAGGCAGGTTCTTTGTGGAAGAAAATCTGTGAAATCATAGAAAATCTAGATATTGGTTTCTGCCTCTGGCTCCTGGCACAGAGCTCCTAAAACCCCTTGTAGTTTCCTAAGTGATAAGAGCATTAGGAGCATTTTTTGGTCAAATATTTGGTCATGGACCTCAGTCTCTGACACAGTTTCTAAATCCCTTAGAATTTCATGGGAGATCTCAGTGTCTTTGTTCTAATGAGGCCACTCTTAGTGGGTTCCTGGATGGCTTCATGATGGGGCTGGTCACAAGAGCAAGCCATGATTAGGAGCCAGCTTCTGGTGGCTCAGATGGTAAAGGATCTGCCTGTAATGCGGGAAACTGGGTTCAGTCCCTGTGTCGAGAAGACCCCCTGGAGAGTGGAATGGCAACCCACTCCAGTATTCTTGCCTAGAGAATTCCATGGACAGAGGAGCCTGGTGGGGCTACAATCCATGGGGTAGCAAAAAATCGGACATGATTGAGTGTCTAACACTTTCTTTCACTTTTCAGGCAGGGAGAAGGACTGGAGAGTCACAATTTCCTGATAATAAGCAATCATGTCCCTACATGATGAAGCCTCCATAAAAATCTGTAAAGGGTTTGGAGAGCTTCTGGGTTGGTGAACACACCCACAGGCCCGGAGAGTGCTGCACCCCCACTCCACAGGGACAGAAGCTCCTGTGCCTGGCAACCTTCCAGACCTTGCCTTACCCTTACGTACCTCTTCATCTGGCTGTTTATTTCTTATCTTTTCCTATATCCTTTACAATAAACCAGTAAACTTAGGTGTTTCCCTGAGTTCCATGAGTCATTCTAGCAAATTATGGAGCCCAGGAGGGGGGATCCTGATTTATAGCTTATTGGTCAGAAGCACAGGTGACAACCTGAACTTGTCATTGGCATCTGAATCACTGAAGTGAGGGACAGTCTTGCAGGACTGAGTCCCCAACCTGTCAGTCTCTGCTAACTCTGGTTAGTGCTAGAATTGAAATGAATTGTCAAACACCCACATGGTGTCAGAAAATAACTTGGTGTGACACATCTGGTCACAGAAATGTTCTATGTGAGTAGTAGAGGAGAAACACAGGAATATTTTTCCTTTTAAATGAGAGCTTGTCTGAAAAAGGAAATATGGCAATATATGTATTGGTCTAGGATTTGTCACCAAAAAATGGAGATATTCTTACTAAGCTCTTTTGAAAATCAGATGCAATGAACTACCTTCAGAGTCTATGCCTAGACCCGTAGTGGGGTTTGCAGAAAAGTGTAGTAAGTACAATATTGTAAAAGGGATTTAAAAACACATCATTTCAATAAAGATGTTATAGTTTACCCAATATTCTATAGACAAAACAACAAATAAGGATAACTTGTATAAAACAATGTTTTTCCAGAATGCTTTCACACAATGAAAAAAATATTCAAGAATTATATTCTACCTAAGAATCTAGTCATGTTTGGTTATCAAGGAGAGTAACCTACCCAAATTTAATAGTATTGGAAAATGCCTAGGCTCAAATACCAAGTTGATTAATAATTAAGGAAAAAATCTAAATTGGAAGGAAAAAACTGGAGTGGTATAATTTTTAAGAAGGCCAGTATAATTGCTTCTTGCATTATGCATTAAGTCTCTTACAGCCAGCTTATATTTGGATTACATTTCTTCAATTATAATTTTCTCCATAACTGACCAAGGTGTTTATCTGAGTCTCTCTTTCTTAAATTTTGTTATGATTCATTAGTGACTGCATAATATCTAATTAAGATAATTGTTTAAAGTCTTAATATAATCTAACTCATAAGAATGAGTTTAACACTACAGGCAATAAATAATGTCACAGGCACTAAGATAATACAACAAAGAAGATCAAGTTAACATTGTGCTGTGCTATATGCTTAATCTGTCAGTCGCGTCTGACTCTTTGCAACCCCATGGACTATAGCTCTCCAGGCTCCTCTGTCCATGGGGTTTCTCCAGGCAAGAATACTGGAGTGAGTTGTCATGCCCTCCTCCAGGGGATCTTCCCAACCCAGGGATCGAACCCAGGTCTCCTGCATTGCAGGCAGACTCTTTACCATCTGAGCCACCAGGGACACCTGAGCTATTCAATCATATATCCAAATATTTTAGATAATTCTCCTTAGCTTCGCAGGGCCACGGGTAGGGCCCTGAAAGCAAACTCGTCCCAATTAGACCATAAGATTGACATTCCCTACATAAATTCTAATGATATATATATAAATATCTTGAAGGTTGAATCATTTGTCACAGAGCTTCTGTTTCACAGTTCAAACCTTTTCTCTAAAATTTAAAAGTATTTAATAGATTTTAAAATGTCTAATAAAGTTGCATAGATATTAACATAAACAAATGCAAAAGCTCTAATGACAAGCAAAATTTTTAACCACCGAACTTTAATACCAAAAAAGCCAATAAATCAACTAGCTCTTACTAAGATCTTACCCTGGCTACAATGCTAGGTGGAAAGATATCTTAACAGATAATAACTACATTCATTCACAATTTAATAGTGATGGTTGATGATATAATTTTTAGATTTTATTTATTTTAATTGGAGGCTAATTACAATATTGTACTGGTTTTTGCCATACATTGACATGATGATATAATTTTGAATTTAATATTAACATTTACCTAAAAATGTAAAGTATCTGGAGTCACATGGTTTAAGAAATTAGCAGAGAAGGAGGAAACAATGAAAGTTCAGGAGGAAAATTGGCAAAATGTAGAATTCAGAAAAACCTCAGATATGCAGATGATACCACTCTATTGACAGAAAGTAAAGAGGAGCTAAAGAACCTCTTGATAAGAGTGAAAGAGGAGAGGCTTAAATCTCAACATTCAAAAAACTAAGATCACAGCATCGGGTCCCATCACTTCATAGCAAATAGTGGAAGCAGTGACGGATTTTATTTTCTTGGGCTCCAAAATCACTGCAGATGGTGACTGCAGCCATGAAATTAAAAACACTTGCTCCTTGGAAGGAAAGCTAAGACAAACACAGACAACATATTAAAAGGCAAAATATTGCTTTGCTGACAAAAGCTATGGTTCTTCCAATAGTCATATATGGATGTGAGAGTTGAACCACAAAGAAGGCTGAGCACCGAAGAATTGATGCCTTCAAATTGTGCTGCTGTAGAAGACTCTTGAGTCTCTTGGACTGCAAGGAGATTTAACTAGTAAGCCCTAAAGGAAATCAACCCTGAACATTCACTGAAGGATTAATGCTGAAGTTGAAGCTCCAATACTTTGGCCCACCTGATGTGAAGAGCCAAGTCATTGGAAAAGACCCTGATGCTGGGAAAGATAGAAGGTAGGCGAAGAGGGCCACAGAGCATGAGATGGTTAGATAGCATTGCTGACTCAATGGATATGAATCTGAGCAAACTCTGGAAGATAGTAAAGAACAGGAAGCCTGGCATGCTGCAGTCCACAGGGTCTCACGGAGTCTAACACAACTGAGCGACTGAACAACAACAAGGATTCAGACAGCATCTCCAGGAAGATAGATCTTTTTATTTCTGTAGCAGAGTGCCTGTCAAGAAGCATTTGTTTTATAAATGTTTGTGGAACTAAATTCCATTGCTCATCATACGAAAAGACATTTCACTGAAGCAAAGTGCACCATGCACAACTGGAAGAAGGAGCGAAGAAGAATCACGTGCAGAGAATTCTAACTCAGAGACAGGTGGCAGTTTGGAGAGGCAAGGTTGAAGATGTCAACTTTTGATCATTTCTTCCTCCTTTAATGTGCTCGGCTGCCCACACCTAAGTTTTCTGATGCTTCTTTCTTGAGTGTTTAGTCTACTGAGTCAGTCCTGTGCCAGTCCCAACTAAGACAAGAAGTACATCACCAATCCTAGCCCTTCTACCTAATGGAACTTAAAGTTAAGTCATCCTCATAGAAAGTCAAAGTGTCAGTGACACTTGTGTCCAGCTCTTTGCGATCCCATAGATTGTAGCCCGCCAGACTCCTCTGTCCATGGGGATTCTCCAGGCTAGAATACTGGAGCGGGTTGCCATTCCCTTAAACAGACCCAAAACCCAGTGACTTTTCACTAGCAACTAGAATATACTACTGCTGCTCTACCAGATTCTAGACCTGCCCTCTAGATGGAACCCAGCATCTGGTCTGTCCTTTACTTCCTTTGGGAGCATCTCTCACCTCTTCTTACTTCTGATCAGCTACACCTCCACTCTGTCTTCTGTAGACTACATCCTGACACGTTCACAAACTACTAGTGTGAACCAGTGAGTACTCCTGTCTCACCCCATGTTCTCTCGTCTAGACATCCTTTGTGCATGACTACCTGCAGAGCAACCCCTCAGTGAAGGCTCTGTCTCCCACCTTCCGCTGTGCCTGCTGCGTGAATCTGGATTCATGTCTCAACTCTCTTCAATCCCAGACTTCTGTGATGTGTGACTCCAAGCAAATGTTTTTGTTTTGTCCCTAGGCATTGAGGCTTGGCAGGAATGCTAAGTTGGAATTAGGTTTCAGAGAGTCTTGAATGCCACATGAAAGGAACTGGGAAATGTCTGATAATCAAAGGAGAGTCTTTGCAAAATTTGGAGTGGAGACATGGCACAGAGAACTAGGATTTTAGCACGATGAATCTGGGAATTAATTATAGGTTAAAAAAAATACCACCTGCAATTGGTACACACAGCTTAGTTGGGCAAGATGAATTCACTTTTCTTCCCATGACATATGCCATTGCGATGATGGCCATCTTTTTCTGGACTTAATTAAAAGTTCTAAAATATCTAAAAATAGCTTGACAAATTGATAAATTGTTATGGAGAAATTCCAATTTAAACACTATTGTTTTGGTTAGAATAAAGAAAAATCTATATATGGAGAAAATAATCACTAATGAAAATGTGACTGTTTTCAAAGTATTTGAGAATAAAACTCATCTGGAATATTTTCTGAAACAGAATATTTTTCAAAGGATAGGCCAGTTAGGCATCATCATAAGGAAGCTTAACATGTTAAGTAAATAATTCTGTAGCAAGCCTTTAGAATAGATGCATTGTATTCTACCTTCCTTGTCATAAGGTACTGTACACTTAACAGTTGGTTGAGAGGATTTCATACATACTCACACACATGAGTTGGATTTCATGTATGTGCTTTTTAATCACAATAATATAAAAATCAAACTGTCTCATACTTTGGGATGAAGTGTGTTAATGTTTTTTTCTGTGAACAAGAAAAACACAACCTGTATCAGCGAATATTTTTCCTAATCAAATTATTATAACACTGTTTTCTTCTGAAATGGCTTTACTTTGATTTTCAAACTAAGAAATATTTTCAGAATATGCAACAGTATTTTTTAACATTATGATAAAAAATCCAAAACATTAAATTATCTGTTTTCTTTTAAATAAATCATATGCCATATTTTTTAGATTATTTTAACTGAATATTTGTCCTGTTAAAACAAGAAAATTTTAAACACAGTCACAGAAACTTTCAATACTTCAAAAAGCAATGAGCTAAAGGCAGAAAAACCTAATATGTCTGACTCCTAAACATCAGACTTTGCCAACTGGTTTGTTATTTCAATTCTCCAATTAAAATTGATCCATGTTAGCTATGTTGTTAATTATTAGTAGAAGTGAAAAATGCCTTCATCTTTTCCCTAGATTTATTTAGTCTAGGATTTGAGTACATAAATCCTTTTTTCAGTCTCACCCAAGTAAGTTACAACAGACTCCACATAATTACATACCTGAGAAAATTCAGTATAATTT